TGTACACTATCAGCGACCCTCTTCTGTCTAGCCATGAACATGTTAATTAAAGCGGCAGAAACAGAATGTAAAGGGCCGGTCACTAGATCAGGATTAAGGCAACCTCCTATAAGAGCCTACATGGATGACATGACAATAATAACGACATCCGTTATTGGCGCGAGATGGCTGCTAAGTGGGATTGAAAAGCAGATCACATGGGCCCGAATGAATTTCAACCCCGCGAAATCAAGGTCACTCGTTCTAAGGAGAGGTAAAATAGTAGATAAGGAAAGATTCAGACTAACCGGGGGAAACATACCAACAATTAGGGAAAAGCCCGTAAAATGCCTTGGAAAACGTATAGATCACTCTCTAAAAGATGCAACAGCAATTAAAGAAACATAACACAAACTAGAAACTTGGTTAAAGAGAGTTGACAAATCCGGCTTACCAGGCCGATATAAAGCCTGGATTTATCAGCATGCCATTCTCCCTAAAATCTTATGTCTATTTACGAATTTACAACATCTCATATAGAACAATTAGAAAAAAGAATCAGCACACGACTACGAAGATGGTTAGGCCTACCGAAAAGTTTGACCAGTGCTGCTCTATACGGCAACACAAATGCTCTGCAACTCCCTTTCAGAAGTCTAGTAGAGGAATACAAAGTCACCAAAATTAGAGCAATAACGCAGTACCAGTTATCCAAAGACCCAAAGGTGGCTGGAGCAGGCATTGAGGTCTACTCAGGAAGAAAATGGAGAGCAGAGGACGCATTGCGGGTCGCTAAAGAAAGGCTCCGCAAAAAGTCCATTTTACGCGCCGTAGCTACTGGACGAGCTGGTCTAGGGTTCTTTCCTACCATCCGAGTGGACAGAGCCAAAGGTAAAGAAAAGAACCGTTTAATACAAGAAGAAGTACGCAAGGGCGTGGAGGAGAAAAGGGTGGCAAAGATGGTAGGACTACGGTAACAAGGTGCGTGGACCAATTGGGAATCTATGATTTACAGGAAAATCAAATGGTCGGGTATATGGAGCAATAACATCAACATTAAGTTCCTGATCCAGGATGTATATGACACCCTTCCCAGTCCTACCAACCTCCATCGATGGTATGAAACAGAATCACCACTATGCCATTTGTGCTCACGCCCAGGAAGTCTTAAACATATTTTAAGTAGCTGTAAGACAGCACTAGCGGAAGGCCGGTATAGATGGAGGCATGATGAAATTCTAAAAGATATATCAAAGATAGTAAGCATGGCCATCAGCACCAAATACTTTAAACACAGATAAAAGAGCCATAGAGTTCCATAGAGCTGGTGAGAACCCCCCCCCCCAAAAGCAAAAAAAATATAGCAAATAATCTGTCACTGGCAACAGACTGGGAATTAAGAGTCGACTTAAGGAAAAGACTAAAATTCCCGGACCACATCGTGCAAACATCTTTACGCCCAGATTTAGTATTCTTCTCTAATAGCATTAAGAAAATAATAATGTGGGAACTGACAGTGCCTTGTGAAGAACATGCAGAAGAAGCCCACGAACGGAAGATGTTAAAATATGATGAATTAATAGCGAGCTGCAAAAACAACGGGTGGAAATCAAGCTGTTTGCCAATCGAAGTAAGTGTAAGGGGTTTCGCTGCAAGGTCCCTATGCAAATCTCTAACGGACATTGGCGTAGTAGGTGCTAACAAAAGAAAGGCGATCCAGACCATGACTAATACAGCAGAAAGGACCGCAAAATGGTTATGGATTAAGAAGCGTGATAGCCCGTGGTCATCAATTTAAAAAAACAATCATCAAGCCGAACAAATTTGTAAATATTATTAATATAATTGCAACATGACAATATTGTAAAACTTTTATTATTTTTATTCTAATTTGTTTTATTTCACTTACTTATTTTATTATTATTTTTTTTGTAAATGTGTAAATATACAAATTGATATGTACAACTACAGCCAAAGAATAGTTTTAGTCAATTCGTAAATGGTGCTATTCGTAAATATGTTGTTTTTATATTATACTCATGACATTTTAATTCTTTTTTTTTTTTTAAAGTTACTATTTAACTTTTTAGTGGTTTCGGCTCGACATCTTTTAAGACATTGTCCATTTTTTTTTTTTTTTAACGTAAGATCTATTTTTTTTTTTTATTCGAACGTAAGCCCTTTTTGTCCTCTTTTTATTCGAACGTAAGAGTTTTTTTATTCGAACGTAAGACCTTTCGTCCTTTTTTTTTTTTTTTATTCGAACGTAACATAAGACCTTTTGTCCTTTTTAATTTCACATTTATACGAACATGTCGCATTTGTATATATTTTAAATCGGAATCATAACCACGTATATACAGTATTTACAGTGTCTTTTCCCTCGATCATTACCATATATATATTTGTTTGTATTAGTTTAATTGTCAGCGGTTTCAAGCGATACATACATAAACATATTATGAAGCTTCGTTAATAATAGATTTACTTCAAGATCATTTCGTCGTCTATTATATTTAACGACTTCAAATTTGTATATAATCAATATTAAGGAATATTACAGTGCTTACTGTAATTCTATTTTATTTTACATTTTTAATGTCATTTTTGTATAGACGTGAAATATATATATTGTTAACATGCAAGATACAGTCTAAACGATAAGATAATAGTTGTGCCTATCTATCCCCGCCAAAGAAAACAAAAAGCAAAATAAAAACGGCAAAGAATTAAATCATACAATACTTAAGAAGATTTAGGAACATTTAGATTACCTCCTCGGTTATCCATCGAAGCCGCAATCCGCCGAAATAAGAAAAGAAACCAGTCCCCATCGCGGGCCATTTAAAAGATATTTCGCGCACCGGATTGGTTGTTACAAACATCCAATCGGATGCGCGGAAGACGTGGTCTTTCTTCCTCTTAATCTTTAAAAAGGCCAGAGTGGCTGTTAGCGTTTAATTAAAAGGGGGAATCAGGGGTTGATCTCCCTTGATTGGGTCGATTGGTGATGGGGGAGTATGATGTTGAAAGACCCGAAACTCCCTGATGAACCAAGTCAAAAACATCACTGACGACCCCCTTAGGCGCCAACTTAAAAGCGTATTTGTGAATTATGAACATAGGATCCACTGTTGTACATAATTAGGTTACAATAAAATTTGTATTTTATATGAATAATACATCATGAAAATTTAGATGTAATAGAGTGGGGGCCGTATCATTGATTGGGTTCCCGTATCATAAATTTGGAATTTGTATGATAGATGGGGGTAAGAGGACATATATATATATATATATATATATATATATATATACCCAAGTACAGGGTTGGTACAAATGGAATAAAATTCCGATAACAAAAACACTATTCTTAAAAAGTGCTCAATACCAAGTAGAGCAAATAATATTTATTCAAAATTATAACATATGCATTTAACGTCATTACAAAAATTGCAATTTTGGTTCAACACTACAGGTGTCTTCTCAACTAGTGTTTTATCAACACCATCACTTGATAATACACCAGTAGAGTTGAACAAAATTGAAATTTTTGTAGTGATGTTATAAAATGCATATATTACATTTATAACATTTAATAAATATATATATATATATATATATATATATATATATATATATATATATAAATTTACTAAGCTGAAGATGATTCATTGTATTTATTTTATTTATTCATGAGAATAGTACACCGTTTGTTTTGTTCCAGATAAAGGCACACTTCGAGGTGTTGTAATGGTTAGAAAGCTTGTCTCGCTAGATCCATTACGACTGAATAGTGAGTTAGACCGCCACTGAGTGCATCATGTTTATGACTTTATGCCATATCTAAACTATGCTTAGCAAAACACTACCTACTTCAGATAACCTTATTGGTGTCGGGGTAATCAAACTTTGGCACAAGAATACATTTTTAATAGTTACACATAGAAAGGATCGAAGTCGCTTTGCGAAACATTTAATTTAATAATTAACCTTAGTTTACAGCATCGAGAAATTTATTGAACTTGAATTTACTAGATACCTCTACACTTCTTGCACTTTTACTTAATTTTACGCATGCGCACATAGGTCCCTCACAATTACTGACCAAAATGTTTTCCTCGTGTTATAGATCTTTTTCCTTTTTCATTTTACGGAAAAATAGAATTATTGCTATAACATAGAATAATAAAAGCGTTAAATAAAGAAATGAAAAATACTAAACAAAGAATTAAAGAGAAAAAAAAATGATTTTAAAACAATAATAAAAAATAAGATTACACTAAGTTATTATTGTATAAGAATTTCTTTCTTTGACTGCCAGTTCTTGTTTACTCAGCTCTTGCTTACTTTAACTCATACATTCTGCAATTCCCTGGTCGCGGAAACAGCAACATATTCTGAACATTCCTGTTAGTGTTATGAAAATTTTGGTTTGGGGTTTTATTTATTTTCACTGAATGATAGTTTTTTTTCACGCTAACAGAATTATTTGTGAATCAGTAAGCAGTAAGGTGACATTTAAGTCAACAGGACTTGCAGAAGTTCAGTAATGCTTGTATTTTCAAATATTTTCTTTGTAAAAAAATATTTCATAGAAATACTAAAAAACGGATTGACCTAGTAGATTAAAACGTTAGTGAATTTAGTGACATTATAAATGTGAGTTTACTTTTGCACAAACACTTTTGGAGAAAGAGTGTATTCGTCTCTTCTCCTCTCAACCGGTGAGTGTCGATCCAAGTGTGTCCTGGTATTTAGCAGGACACACCTGGATCGACTGAAGAAGGCCGGAAGATACGACAGCCGAAACGTTCTGATAATAACTACAAAGACAACGACACTATTTAGAATGGAAATAAAATAATACTAAGAAAAAGAAGTTACTCACAATGTAATTCTTTGCCTTGCACAGAAATTGATGTGAAGTGTGGTTTCAAAAGAAATATGAAGAGATTCTTAACATTACCAATGATAAAAAAAAGGAAACAAGTCCCAAAATAAATGTACTCCTTACTTACTCTTTGAAAATAGAGCCTCCAATGAATGCCAAGTCTTCCTTTAGAATGTTCCAAGTGTCCTTAATGAGCTGTACCTGTTGGGGACTTAAACAGTGCCGAAGCTGTTCGCTCTCTCCATGTCGAAGCCGGTAACTGGCTCTATCCAGGGATAGGGTTTTCATAACTCTACGAACGCGTGTTTGCCCATTGCCCATTCCGTCAGTTCTGTCAGATGTAAACAAAGTCAGAAAGATATTAACCAACAGACAAATGTACCTCATCCAAAAAGACACGCCCACTTCCTTGGCTATCCACGTCTATCTCGCTTTAAGTGTTACGCCCATATGTCAACTCAAAATAATACCGTCTTCTTTCGTTTCGTTTTTTTTATTTAATGATTATTAATTTTAACCGATCTAGTTACATTTTAAAAGTGAATTTCCAATTATAAAATTAAAATATCTTATCTCCTAATTGGCATTTTAAAAGATTGTTATTTTCGCTTTTGCTACTACGTTTCTTCCGAAATATGCTAATAAAAAATATTACTTTGCGTTTTTTTTGCAGTGATTGGCAATCCGCTCTCGAATACTATTGGTAGTATGTTCGATTCTTACTGAATCTTCTATATAGACACTGTTTCACGTATGTTATCAAGCTCAGAAGTTAATACTGATTTTCTTCAAATCAACACAACGTATATGCACTGTTAACTAATTTTGATGTTTTTTTTTTTTTATGTCCCTTTCAGTCTCGAAAAGGGATATGATGAAAGGAAAGGGCTTTAAGTTCTACTTACTTCGTGCCTTTTCGTGTGATTTTATCTTCAAGTAAAAGCCCAGGCATTTCTGTTGCTAGTTAATCAAGGCGATGGCACATCACGTCTGTGACAGGACATGAAAAAAAAATCAAACTGATGCTTTGCAAGTCTGTGCACTAAAGTCCAGATAATCTACTTCGCTGAACACATGCAGTGTAAGAACGACCTCATTCCTACGCACATGCACACTTATACACACGCGAACACACACGCACATACACGCACGCACACAAAAGAGAAAATAAATCAACTTAACACCACTAATAAGAGTATACCAACTAGCGCATAAATTAATTACATAAAAATTAGTATAAAGATAATGAAAAATGAGAAAAATAGCGGTCAATTTCTGAAACCTATAGCTATATTTATGGGATAAAGTGCTCAATATAAGAGATAGAGCGTGTGTAAATATAAAAGTGAACATAGAAGTCAACACTTAGAAGCGACAGTCTGTTTCATGCTAGATGCCTGTCGCCTCTAAGTGTTGACTTCTATGTTCACTTATATATATATATATATATATAATTTCATTAAAGACGACGGACAAGGTACTGCGATTGTTTTTTTATTTAATTTTTTCTTGTGTTCAAACAAGTGTTTTCTTTTCTGGACACAGAATGTGTAGAAACTGTCCAAATGTTCTGTAATTCTGAGCGCTTTCGGCTATACTTTTACCCATTATTAAAGATGATTTTATTTTTGCTTTTTAACTGGGTGTATAGATTTTATGTATGTTTCTAGAGTTATAGGGATGTTTTATTTATTATAATATTTATATTATAGCCGTGTTCATAGTTAATATTATTGAGTGATAGTTTTTTCTTTTTTATTATTAAAGCTTCCTTTATTTTTAATCTTTTTTTTCTTGTGGACGGGGTTGTTATGTTTGTATTTTCTACTAGTATGTTTTGGATGGAGTCTGGTAAGTTTGTGTGTTGTTAAATGGGTTCTAATGAAGCTGTGGCCGGATAGGCGTAATGTACGGCGTCTGGATAGGCACGTAGTCATGTGACCGATGCAATTATTTATGAATTCGGTTTGATCAGGAACACAGTTCCTTAAAGGGGCTTTTGAACTCATAAATAATGTTCGTTCGTTGTAATTTTGATTTTGCTGGTGTTATTGTTATTTTTGATGATAAGGTTAGCAGTTTTAAATTTTTTGTAGTAGATAATTAATTTTATTTTATTGTTGTTACATGATTTGAAAGTACTATTAAAGACATACTCAAAATACTTGAAACAATTACACAAAAGAATCAACCCACTTTAAATACAACATGTTCCATCTCAGAGAAAGGCACTTTAAAATATGTTGAATTTAAAAAGAAAATGAATAGCATTGTTTGTTTGGCTTATATCTTTTCGATTTATTTATAAACTAGCTTAATGGCCGTACTCCGTGCGGACTTTTAAGCTAGCTCATGCGGAGGGTTGATTAGGCCGCCGCCCCAAGCTAAAGGAACCTCCGGTCCAGCTTAGAAAACAGCAATGATAATTTTGAAGATAAAAACTTTGAATTTCTCAATTAACTCTATGAGCTTCAAACTCTCGCTTTACCTCTGATTCAGGCTATAAGTCCAATTCCGATCAAAAGTCCGATTTAGGCCGAAACTCTGATTTGGGCCGAGATTCCAATTCAGGCCAAAAACTGAGATCTTAATATCACAAACTCTGTGGAACTTCAAAACATCACGTCACGAAACATTTCGTTTTAACTCTGATTCCTTGGCATTTTGAAGAAATAAAATTTATTTCCTCAATTCACAAAGTTTTCGAGATATTTTAAACTGAATTTAAAGCAAAAAAAAAAATTTAAATTCATAAAATTTTTGTGTTAATTTAAACTCAATATAAATTAAAACCTTTTAAAATTACTATTTTTTTTTTCAGTTATTTTAAAATTTTAATTTTTAACTGTTCTCTCCTCATCCGGACACAAATCCCAATGCTGTATGTTCTAACACCAGATGAAAGACAGATTTCAAAAAGGTATAATATGTCTATGTAGAGCAAGTGTGGCCCAAGTTAGAGGGGTTTCAGACACACAGACAGACAGAATTTGCTGTTTATTTATTTAAATAAAAATTATGTTGCCCTTAGTTTGTTTGCATAACAAAATTTGCCCACTCCAAAGGAAGTAATTATAAATAATGTTAATACAGAAAGTTATTATAAACTAAAACGTACGCGATATATTGCTCATAAAGAGGTCTGTCTGAAAAGTAACGGGTCTGGTGTCACAAACAGTTTATTTCAATTTTACACAATAAACTACATGGTTTCCCCTTCAAAGTAACACCCTTCGAGTCTAATGCACTTTTCCATCCTTCTCTGCTACGCTTCTATGCATTGCCGGAAGGATTCTTCTTGAATGCTACTCGACTCCGTCGTTTGGCCTTCTTGATGGTCTCCACGCCTTCAAAACGGGTCCCTTTGATGATCCCCTCGAGCTCGGAGGAAAGAAAAATTCACACGCGGCAACATCGAGTGAATAGTGAGGTTGTTCCAGTACGGCGATGTTCTTCTTGGTTTGGAACTGCCGGATGCTCAGGGCATTGTGAGAAGGTGTATTGTCGTGATTAAGCAGCCACGATTTGTCCTGCCACAACTCTCTTCTCTTTTCGCGTACTGATCGAAGCAAACGACCTAGGATCTCTTTGTAGACGTGCTGAACTCACTGTGGACGGTGCCTATCACATAGCACACACACAGTCCGGTTACTTTTCAGACAGATCTCGAATATCCTTTAAATTTTATCAAGATATATTTATAAAGAAAACACTGACTTTCAAAATAAAACCTAACATATTGTATGTATAGGTTGCGATGGATAAATTGTCGCCACTTTATATTTTTCATTTCTTGCATGCGCGTTGTTTGTTTTTGATTTTGTCGACTGCACAGTAAAGTAGGGTCAGTTGGACAGCGGCTGTGAGAAAAAAGAGCGCTATAACACAGTTACTCCGCCAGAAATTTGGAAATTCTGTACTGCTTGGAATTCGCACCGGACGCTCCAATATGAACATTTCAAAGTGTTTTGGTGTCAATCTGAGTACAGTGCAGAGGATTTGGAAAGAGTTGGATGAGTCTAATGGTGATTACGAAGGTACGGCAGCTCTGAAAACTCACTCTCATCGTTCTGATAAGAAAAGAGCTCCCGAATTTGTTGGTGAGGTTCTCAGATTCAACACGGGAGCCTACATCAAATACCTTGAGGAGGTAGTGCTATCCTGGGTCAAGAGATTGGCTGCTGGGAGATTCTATGTCTGGCAACAAGACTCTGCACCATGCCACACAAGCTGGAGAACCCGGTCATGGCTGTCAGACAATTTCAGTAACCACATCACCCTTTACATCTGGCCACCTAACTCTCCTGACTGCAACCTCCTTGTGTGGATGAACTGAAAACAAGGATTATGGTAGTATTCACCAGCGTAAACAAGGAGACCGTCCAGAAGAGTTGCAGGAGATTCCGAAGTTATCTGAAGGTTGTAGTTGAGGCCAATGGTGATTTTATTGAATAAATTTACTCTTTAGTATTTCAAGATATTTGTGTGTGTGTGTGTTGTTGTTGTTTTTGTTTGAGATGTCAGTGTTATTTTCGGCTAGATGACAATTTATCCATCGCACCCTGTATGTATATATAAGATCGATTCTAGGTCCAATGCGTATCCCACATGCAAAACATTGTAGTCCCCGTAAAGACCAATGCAATCAGTATCGAAGCGCACATTCATCGCCACAGGCTGCGCTGGACAGGCCATGTCATTCTCCTTGATGACAAAAGAATATTTAAGTAAGGGCTGTACAACGAGTTACTCCACGGCACTCGACTTCAGCATAAGCTAAATAAGCGTTTCAAGAACTGTAAAGGCGTTTTTTGCAGCCTGGGTGGGAAATTGCTGCTTGTGATCGATATAAGTGGGGGCGAATGAAAGCATTAATATCTTCCAAGAACATGCAACGAGTTCAGTAAATGTCAAACAATTCCACCAATTTACATGTGATGGATATGGCAGAGTATATCTGTCAATTGTAGGCCTCATTAATCACAATAAGAGATATATTGGCAGACCTTTCAGAAATTATGATCATTACTGCGCTTGGATTAACTCAACATGCGGGACGTGTCAGAAAACCTGTATAAACCGCTCCCGGTCTCGCCCGTCACATGAAAACGCACGAGCAAGCTGAACAGACTTTACAAAACAGGCTAGCACCTGTACAAAACAACTTAGTTTGCCAAACATTGCAAACCACTTGCTGGCTTCAAGAGCCATTGTCGTTTTCTCAATAACTAAAGCCATCGATGGTCATACTCGTTTAACGAGTTGACATCCATCATGTATGTATGTTATTGCAACTGGAAGGCGATGCGTTGTTTCAGTGGGATTCGCATTATATATTTCTCATTTCCCAGATGTTCAACAACTTCCTTAGCCGGCACGATCACCAGACCTATCCGCCATCAGACATGATAGAACTACGCCTTACTTGCTAATTTAGCATATCCACAACAATTATCGTATTGCATCAACAGATTCAATAATCATGGAACTGCCGGGTGGTATTCGCCATCTGTACATTATCTGGATTCAAGAGTACAGGTATATCAACATATACCTCTTTTTGGAACCTGTTCAGGTATTGCTTTGTATATGTGATCAGTTACTGTAACCCTGCTATATTACCTGTACGTTTAATGTTTAGTAAATTGAAATACATATTCAGGGTGTTACAATTTTATTCTCCATCAATGTTGATTAGGACAGGTTGATTATTTTTCAATTTGTCCATAAAATCAACATTGCACTCAGTGAAAAAGCTTGGCATAAATCTGATAACTAATGACACCAAAAATTAGATTCATACTTTTTACCAATTTTTGAGCATTTAGTTTTAAATGTTGTCTGAAAAATGTACAAAAATATCTAATTTCCTCGGATTTTTGCTTACAAACTGACTTCAAAATGTTAAATCCAAATAAAATTGTTGATATTTTTGTACACTGAATGGAAAAA